ACCTTTTGACAACTATGCTTAACGAGATCCCCTTATTGCGATATCTTAAATAGTTTTAACTCATTAGTTATTAATTTTCTTAGTTAACAAAAAATGAAAAATTAATAAAAAGTGGTCAAAATAATTTTTTAAGAGAAAATAATGTTGGCTGCTTTTGTTAGAAAGTGGCATTAAAAAACATTAACTAAAAATTGTTCAGTACTTACCTACATTTGTTTAAATAATTTTTATAAACAAATGCAATAATTACATATTTTTCAAAAATGTCATTCTTGCGAGTATATTAAGATTAAAAAAAATTCTTAAAATTATCTTCTATTTTTCTTTTATTATCGTTTCCTTTATTTTATGGTTGTTTAAGTAATCTACTGAGAATTATTTTATTTCTCTAAAATTATAATTTGTACTTCTCCAGAAGATTACAGAAAAAAAAATGTTTTTATTGAAAATTTATTTGTTTATTTACATAACAATTTGTTATAAACAATCGGCAAAAGTGCTGTTATTTTTTTTAGATAAAGAAAAGAAAATAACAAAACCAACCATACAAATTCGTTTCTCACTATACAGGGATCTCTGAAACGGTAAGAGATACGAATTGGTTTAAATGGGAGCAAAGTTGTGTAATCAGGGGACCAACATTATGCATCTAAAAAATCAAAGCTAAGTTCTCGAAATATTTGAAAAAACCGAAATTTTAAAAATCCGTTTTTGTTTCATTTAAAAAATGAAGAATCTCATCTTCTCATAGCAACTTTTTGCCCTCTATCGAATGGCATAATCAATTTTTATATGTAATGTTTCGTCTTACCATCATCAATTTTTTTTCGAATTTTTTAGTTTGGTAGGTATTCTCCGGAAGTCAAAGCGGCCATGCGATTTGTTTACTTATAAACAATTATAACTTTTAAATTATTACAGATACAGTAATGGACATTAAAGACAATCTTGTAGAATATTAATTGATCTTTCAAATGAGCTTTCGTTTGAAGCTATTGTAGATCGTTAGTTATATGAATTTGTTTATAAAAAATTAAGCTTTTCTTCGTATTGTTCGTCTTTGACTGTTTAGATATCATAAACTGTTGAAGTTACAGATATGAACCTTCAAAACGATTTTATTACGCAATAAAAACCTATACAATAAATATTTGACTCAACCGAATACTCGAATTGTTTAAATAATATAAGGTTTTTTATTAATAATCATGCAAATTTAATTGATTTTTTTAAATTTTATTTATATTTTTCTTAATCATTTTTTAAATTGTTTATATTAACATTTAATAATAATATCATAACAAAAATATTTTGTCATAAGGTCGGTTTCGTACGTGCAATGCTAAAACCTTTCGACGCTAAAAACCCTATTTTCAGCATTAAATTAAAATTATAAATAATGACGATAGAGATTCGGGAGTTGGGACATATTTATAGGAAATTTCCTCTTATTTTAGGATCTTTTTTCAAATTGACGTTATCACTTATATTTTTCGAGTTATTTGCAAAAAAACATCCTCTTTTTTTAAACTTTATTTATTTATAACTTTTGCAATTACGATTTTTATGCTCATTTTTCTAGACGTCATCCCGAATCGAATGAGCCCTCAACCATCTCTTAAGGGCCCCATATTCTTTAAATAGTGTTTTCCGCAAAGACAAACATTTAATAACTGAATAATCTAAAGCTTATCAAATAACAGGAATGTTATGTCATACCACCTGAGTATTTTCAAAGACGCCGCAGTAAAACGAATAAACAGGTGCAAAAAACGATCAAACCATAAAGGTTTTAGGTACTGAAATCTACGAAAATACTAACTTTTTTATATATAACTCCACATGTAAATATTCTTATAACATTTACTTGCTTAGTCCTACATATAAAATTGTTTACTTTTATTTATAAGTACGTAAAAATAATTCTTAAAATGTGGGGTTAGGATAACAAAAAACGCATGTTTTACAAACGCTTTTTTTTAGTTATTATTTTATTTGGGTAGATTTAAATGGTAACAATGAATAAACAAAACATCAAGGATGTTATTTTTGTGCTTACTTTTGTTCTACACGTTTTACTTTTCAAGATTTCAGTACCTAAAATGCCAGAAATTTCACCATTTCTCGGCCAGGGATATGGCCACCTTAACTCGAATTGCACAGCCACATAAAAAAAAATTAGTCTGTACTTTTCATGCGACATATGTTATCAGTAGTATTTTTGCCTTCTGATCACGATTCCGCTGTCAGAATTGAGCTATCACATTACAGGAATTTCCTAACCTCAAAAAACAGATCAAAAATAGCAAAAATTCACGAAAAAGTGCCAGGAAAACTAGAAAAAAAAATTTTTCTATGTTCAAATGTTCATTTATATAGTTAAGGCCCCGCCAAACGTGAATTAGCGGTCAGAATTGTTGGTTCTTTTTCTAACCTCAAAAAAAACGGGCCAATTAAGGTCAGATATCACGAATTTTCAAAATATAACAAATTTGCACCAAATTTGGTATACGGGGGTTTTCGGAGTCGATGATCACGGATCCGAGGTCAATTTTGCAAAATTCAAGAGGGCGGATCCAAGATGGCCGACCAAATTTTCAAAAAATAACAGATTTGCATCAAATTTGGTATAAAGTGATTTTCGGTGTCGCTGATCACGAATTCGAGGTCAATTTTGCAAAATTCAAGATGGTGACTGACCAAATTTTAAAAAATAATATATTCGCGCCAAATTTGGTATAGAGGTCACTGACCACGAATCTGAGATCAGATTTACAAAATTCAACCCGTGAATAGATCTTTTACAGAAAAAAGAACAAGATATAGCCAAAAAAAGTAGATTAACACATGATTGGGTAGGTACTCAGATTATAAAGTAAAATATTACAAAATGAGTTTCACAATTCTGACCTCGAAAACGTAATCAGCGACCCCGAAAACCTCCGTATACCAAATTTGCCGCGATTCTGTTATTATTTGAAAATTTGGTCGGCCATCTTAGATCCGCCATCTTGAATTTTGCAAAATTGACCTCGGATACGTGATCAGCGATCCAGAAAACCCCCGTATACCAAATTTGGTGCCAGCCTGTTATTGTTCGAAAATTCGTGATATCTGACTTTAATTGACCCGTTTTTTGAGGTTAGAAAAAGAACCATTAATGCTGACCGCGGATTCACGTTGGGTGGGGTCTTAACTATATAAATGAACATTTGAATATAGAAAAAATATTTTTGTATGTTTCCTAGCACTTTTTCATGAATTTTTGCTATTTTTTACCTGTTTTTTGAGGTTAGGAAATTCCTGTGATCTGATAGATCAATTCTGACACCGGATTCGTGATCAGGAGGCAAAAATACTACAGATAGCGTATGTCGCATGACAAGTACAGACTACTTTTCTTTTTTTGTGTGGCTGTGTCAGTATTTTTCACGACTTTGAGGATGTTAACTAGCCTATAAGGATATACCCTAGTCGACACAAGATATCGAATTCCCGGCATTCCGCGATCGTTCCTCACCGCCGATTGATTTACGTCGGCCTTAATTAGTCCACATGCTAGCAGAAAACATAGCCGGTCGTAAAACATATTAATTTATCCCCGCATTACATCCTCGAATTGTCTATTAAACTTGCGAAACGGATAGAAACCAACATTCATTCCGTTAATTATCGAGACAGCTCGATGCAGTCCGTGGCTCTCTCCTCGTCATAATTCTGTTTATGTCTTTGGCACGGCCTGGAGGACCGAGGGAAGATAAATAACTACCGTGGCAGCATAAAAGGTGGACATAAATTAGAGTAACTTAAAACGTAATAAATCAGTCGGGAAGAGATCGGGGCCTTCGCGGACACTTGTCTTGCCGTTTGAGTCCATCCTCATGCAGCAGTTCTGTCGCTGGTACCTAGAGGAAGGGACCAATGCAGCGACGTCAGCAGCCACTTCACCGCTCGTGTCCCTTAACCCAGCATACAGATATGCTGTTCTAGACCAGGCAATAAAGAGAAAAATAGCTAGATTTTCGCGGCCCGGTCCGATTTTAATGCGTTTTTTTGCATTTTGTTCAGAAAGATCGTCGGAAAAAAGTCCCGCCTTTTTTATTATCCGGAAGTGGCGGAAATGCATCGCGGGTGCATAAAGTGCANAAATGTAGTTGCTTATTTTCTTCTTCTTGTGGTGCGTATCTTGATGCAAATTTCGCACAATACAGATCTTCTAAAAGTTTGACTGCCATTACTTCGGCATGAGGGCGTATTATTAACAGTTCAAAAAACCGCGAGTATTAATATTGGGGAGTTTCATCACAACGTGACAACAGCGCTTGACCTAACGCTACACAGCTGGTGCATACCACGTGTGGACGCGGAAGACTTGTCCTATGGAAAAAATGTAAACAATATTGTGAAACATTTAATAAATTTCAAGACGATTGTTTTCCAGTTTTTAAGTAAATAAAATAAAATATATCGATTTTGTAGTTCGATAACTAATACTTCATAGAAGATTCTATAGAGCATATATGTACATCCATATCAACTTTTGATCTTCAAAACTGGTCAGACGATCTTCAAAACTGGTCCACTTGATATGTAATGACCCATAACTCTTTTGGTGATATTATTTCTATCTTTAATGGCGGATATATTCCCAAAGCTTTTGGGACAAACTGTGATTCGAGAAAAAATAGAATAAAAAAACAGTATATTCATCCTGGTGGAGAATATTTATGCTTCAATCCATTACATGACAGATTGAAGAAACAATTTAAGATTTAAAGTCCTGTAACAAACTTTTCAGCAGGATAAGAAATAAAACGAAATATTAGGTTTGTTTCTAGAGCAGTCCAAACTGTTTTCAAACTATCAGATATATTCGGTCATTTAAGTTCTCGAATCAATTGGTCAAATAATTTTGATAGTTTAAAGTCAGTCCTCAACTAGTGCAGGAACAGAATTTTTTCTAGCAATACAAGTTTTTATAACCCTCACGATTTTTGCAGGGGTGAACACCGACTACACCAACAAAGCAATAACCCACGACTCCCCCTCATCTGTGATACACGTGGAGAGCTACGACGACGACCACAACCTCCGCAGGGGCTCCTCCCAGATAACGGTCGTCGACCCGTACCACCCGTCCCTGCAGCGGTCGGCGCCGTCCAGGAGGTCCTCTGGCGCCGACCTCTTCCCCAGACGCACATCGGGCGAGGTCTACCACGACGACCAGTTCTTGCCGTCTTCGCGAAAGACGTCCGTGGACGCCGTGCTGCCGCGTCGCGCGTCGGTCAGGCACTCGCCGTCGTCGCCTGACCACCACAAAGACATTCCCGAGGAGCAGGCGATCCTGGACGACGACCAGCAGGAGAAGAAGAGCGTGTCCTTCGAGGAGGAGGAGGAGGAGGAGGAGGGGGAGGAGGAGGGGGAGGAGGAATAGGAGGAGGAAGAGAACGAGGAAGAGGAAGATAATTTTGATTGGTATTTATAGTTGTTTATACAGGGTGTCCCGAAATTCATGCAACAAAATTTGGTCACAGATTCTTAACACAAATTTAGGTGACCCGTATTTTTTATTTTTGCCAAGTGGCCCCCTCTTTCGGAGTTACAGCCCCCTGAAGTCCGCCCCTAAGAAAAATCTTTTTTTATATATCTCAGAACCCTGTTGTACGAGAATGACTAAATTTGGTACACAGTGGAATCTGATGGTGCTACGTTTTTTGGCGGGGAACCCCCTTAAGACAATTTTTCGTGGGCCCCCTTGTCTTTGGAGCCGAAAAAAATTGGTCGCATATTTAAATTTCTTAAAAATTATCAGTCCACTAGAAAGCCATTAAATTTAGAAACTTTTTGTTACTTTATACTTTTTTCGTAAAATGCGATATTTTCGAGAAAAATGTCAAAATGTGATCGAATGCATATCGTGATTCGCCCTTTTCCTCAAAAACATTACGTTTTATGAAACAAATATCAAGAGACCAAAAAGTTTCTAAATTCAAAGGCTTTCTAGGTAACTAATAATTTTAAAAAAATCAAATATGCTACCAAATTTTTCTGGTTCCAAAGACAAGGGGGCTCACGAAAAAGTGTCTTAAGGGGGTTTCTCGCCAAAAAGCGTAGCACTGTGAGATTCCACATGTCATAAAACCCATGTATACCAAATTTAGTGATTCTCGTACAACATGGTTTTGAGATATAAAAAGACTTCTTAGGGGCAGATTTCAGGGGGCTGTAACTCCGAAAGTGGGGGCCAGTTGGCAAAAAGAAAAAATACGGGTCCTCTAAATTTGTCTTAAAAATCTATGACCAAATTTTGTTGCATGAATTTCGGTACACCCTGTATAGTTGTTTGATAAATGAGCTCGTGTGACAATTAATACAGAAGGAATATATTATAAGACAATATATATTTTAAAACAATAAATATACTTTTATACTTTAGAACAATAAATACATTTAAAAAAATTATCAGGCTTATCCTTTCTTTTTCCAACCGAACTTTTTAGATTGAGTTTCGTCCCATGATTTTCCATTAATTTATATTCATCCTTCTTAGAAGATTAACGCCCTTCCCCAAAATAATCAGAAATAGTCATCGGACGCATTTGGCAGGGTCAGATTCTGAATCAGCACCGGCAAAAACCCCCGAGATCCATTTTTCCAGTCATTTCGAGAACTTTAGATTTCAACCCCCCCTCCCCCCTTGCCGCCCCCTCCACGAGCACAGGGGATATTTTTCACCCTCGAATTCGGAATTAGCACCCGCGAAAACCCCCCGGAATCCATTTTTCCAGTCATTCGGAGAACCTTGCAATCCACGTGCCCCCCGCGACCCCCAGGCGGCCGGATGTCGCCCCCGGGGGGTCGAGTGAACTGGATATATGCATATTCGAATTCTGCGCCCCCAAAACCCCCGAGTACCAATTTTTGCGGTATTTCGTGCACTTTGGCAAGTTTCTCGGATGCGATGCACTTCTAGATGCACTTTATGCACCCGCGATGCATTTCCGCCACTTCCGGATAATAAAAAAGGCGGGACTTTTTTCCGACGGTTTTTCTGAACAAAATGCAAAAAACCGCATTAAAATCGGACCGGGCCGCGAAAATCTAGATATTTTGGTGTAAATCGTTCTTTATTGCCTGGTCTATTCTATGGATATAAAATAAATTTAAATTATCTTCATTAGCACAGACAAAATAGAACTGTAGAGGCAAGCTGGCGAAGTCAACCGTCAGCCTAACTACAGCCCAGCCAGCATCGCGCTCTCTGTCGCTGTTAGACATTCGCTGTGTTAACATAGTTGCTATTTTATTAAGTATACTTATTGTTTTTACAGGCTCATATTATCAATCGGCTATTTACAATTAGTTTTTTGTCACAATTGGTGTTTATTTTCATGATGGCTATTAAAAATAATTGTAAATATTGAATCCTCAACATGTAATTTAAATAATAAACATACATTAATGTTAAATTACAGGTGATTAGTTACTGAATAAAATTGTATTATACATTTTCTTGTTTTTATTCTCAGGTTTCCTAAATGGGTCAAAGCCATTAAGAAAAAGGGCGCCCTCAAAATCGTCTGTAATATGTTATTACATTGCCAAGAGAAGTTTATTATTATTAATAAAAACGGCGTTAGAAATTCATCCAAAAATGCAGTGCCAACATTAAACTTGCCAAGAGTGGTAAGCAAACTGTCGTTTAAAAAAGAAGAATGACAACTTAAGAAATAGAAATAATAATATATATATATATATATATATAAACAGTACACCTAAGCTACAGAAAAATAAAATTGTGCATCATGTATTAAAAAACATTTTGAATGTGAACATATTTAAAAATATGTAGGTATAAGAACTTGTGAAGACTATGTGAAAAGTATATATATCGATATGAGAATAAATCATGAAGTTAAAATATTTAATTCAGTAAAATCTACCAAAAGACAAATATTAAATAAACTAACCTAACCTAAAGAACAATAAATATATTTAAATTATTTTGTAGGTTTATTTAATATAAGCAAGACATTAAAATATATTATTTTCTGAATTCCAAACTTGAAAAATGAATATTTGTCATAAGTGTAAAAATATTGCTTAATCCTGACCTGTTCAAAGTATACGCGGTCAGATTACCTGGCACACTCCACTTCCCCGCAATTTGGCTTCACCGGTTCCCATGCTTTGGGGTAGGATACATACAGGCTGGTCCATTTTCGATGGGATTTCAGGGTATCTCAGAAACTACTAAAGATATGATAAATCTGACACCACATTCTCGAGCTCGATTTTCATCGCAAACTCGACTGTCAAATCAGAAATTTGCTATCTTCATTTGTTTCTGAGTTACAGGGCGTTTCTCGTTATTATAACACTTTTGAACATGTCTGTATCTCAGCTGTTAAATAAGTTAGAGTTAAAGTGAAAACTGCTCAAGACTAATTCTTTGGCGTAGAATTGAATGCCGGTATTAGATTTTTAGTAGGTCTTAAGATTCCGGAGTTATGACCCAAAGTTATAATTTTTTAAATGGAAATCGTAGCTGGTTATGACCTAAAAAAATGGAGATTTTTTTTTGCTTTTCAGCAATATACCACATGCTATAGTTATTTTTCCAAACACAGAAGATACGGGGTGTTTTATATATAAATTCGATCCTTTTTTACATTTTAATATGGCTGGCTATGAAAATACATACAAAACTATAATTCTTACTTTTACAAAACTCATATCTGTTGTAAAAATATGACGTTTATTTAAAATATATATTACAGATAAGAAAAGACAGAGTTTTCAAATTTTTATTCCACTTCAACTGAAGTTACAATATTAAACGTAAATTAAACAATAGTAAGTACCTACATCAATAAAAACTTTCAAAAATGATAGCTAAATGTTCAAATTGCCGTCCCTCAACTGTCACACATTTCACGCATCTTCTGGCAACGCTTCGGGTAGCATTCATTAAATGTATAGGTATTTGAAATATTATTAAAAGGAATTTTAAATATAATGTCTTTTAGAAAACCTCAAAGGAAAAAGTCCAACGGACTCAAATCAGGTAACCTAGCTGGCCATCTGATCGGTCCGTTTGTTCCTATCCACCTATCTCCTAAAATTTCGTTAGTATTATATTATCACACGAGTATATGTTGTGCATTTAAAATAAATGTCATATTTTTACAACAGATATGACTTTTGTAAAAGTAAGAATTATAGTTTTATCTGTATTTTCATAGCCGGTCATATTAAAAAGGAAAAAAAAATATAATTTATATATAAAACACCCCGTATCTCCCGTGTTTGTAAAAATAACTATAGCATGTGATATATTGCCGAAAAGCAAAAAAAAATCTCCATTTTTTTAGGTCATGATCAGCTACGATTTCCATTTAAAAAAATATAACTTTGGGTCATAACTCCGAAATCTTAAGATCTACTAAAAATCTAATACCGGCATTCAATTATACGCCAAAGAATTAGTCTTGAGCAGTTTTCACTTTAACTCTAACTTATTTAACACCTGAGATACAGACATGTTAAAAAATGAGACAGTAACGAGAAACGCCCTGTAACTAAGAAACAAATGAAGATAGCAAATTTCCGATCTGACAGTCGAGTTTGCCATGAAAATCGAGCTCGAGAACGTCGTGTCAGATTTATCATATCTTTAGTAGTTTCTGAAATACACTAAATTCCCATCGAAAATGGACCAGCCTGCACAAAATGGAAGTAGGTACTCTGTGTTCATTAGAATAATTATTCTGCATTTTTCTTGCATCTGTTGAAATTTTTATAAAATGTCGATGTCGAAAAATTTATTTAAATTTGCTTAATACAATAGATTAAAAATTGTTTCGATAACTGATAACTTTTTAAGGTTCACGTATTTTTGTTGAATAAGTTAACAAGTAAACAGTTTGCAAAAATAATAAATAATTCTTAGCTATTTTCATCAAAATTTCGTCGATATGTTATACAGGGCGAGTTACATCTATCATAAACAGAGCTCGTTAAGGGAAATATCAAACGACCATTAAACAGTGTCTACTACTTTCTTTATTAATATACAGGGTTGTTTGTAGATTTAGACAAAGAATACTTTTCGATACAATATTTGAACGGTGTGTTCAATTCTGTAATTTTTTGGTGAAATTGTATACTGCTGGTTGGCATTCGACACGGTCCGTAAAAAAGACGGTCGAGTAATAGACAGAAATTATGGGCGTGGCTTATCTCATCTACGTCACAAAATTTCTAACCTTTAGGATTCATGTTTGTTTACTTGCGACTTCACTAGTAATTTTGCATTTTTCCAAGTATTTAAGTAAATTATAGTTGTTTAGGTATTTTGCAGTAATTAGTTAGTTATTGATAATAGTTTTTAATAAGTTGATGGTGTAGTGTTTAATATAAACTATTAATTTACCACGTAAAAATGCCAGGAGTGAGGTGTAGTGTTGCAATTTGCAATAATTTTTATAGTGCTAAACAAGAAAATTTAAAAACTTTATTTAATGTGTTTCCTAAGGATAAAAACAGAAAGATATGGGTGGAACGGTGCAAAAGACGCGATTTGTTTAATCATATAACTGGACATATTTATAGTACACATTTTGAAGACTCAATCTTTGAACGCGATTTTCAAGCAAAGCTATTAAGTTTATCATCAAGAAAAAGACTTAAAGAAAACAGGTTAAATGTTTTTCTAGTTTAACTGATTGTATTCACTTCAAAAGGACTAAATTTATTGTTATTGTTGTATAACAAATTGATGTGATTGTTAGAAAAGTGATTGGAAATTTTAAGTAGGTATCTATCGAAATGTGATTTTAATATTTTTGTAAATTTGACAATTTTTCTTAAAATTAAATGTTTTGTCAAAAGTTCTATGCGATTAACTTTTCCTCTTCTTCCTTTCCTTTTATTCCTCCATAGTCCATTTAACTCCCAACACCGAAAAAAACTCTCAAAGCTAAAAACTACTGATGTATAGTTTACTTGTAAAAACTTAGGAATTTTTTAATTCGGAACATCAACTGTAAAACTGTAGTTGGTAAGTACAAAAAGAAATTATGTTGCAGTCTATTATAAAGTACTTTGGTAAGTTATTTGAAATTTAACTAAAGACAAAAGCAGATACAATAACGTCATATAAACTGTACACAAGTTTTTATTTTGGAGCCAAGAGAATATTAAGATAGGTCTAAATTGTTTATATATTCACTTCCCCTCTTTATTTTATTAGAGTTTATGGATATTAACAGATATCTGTAATAAAATTAACACAAATTTTAGGTTAATTATGTAACCAAACGTCAAAAATGGTGACCGATCGTGATGTGTATTCAAGACAATTTCACATTTCATCCTTTTATTTCCAAATTCCAATGTAAAGATTCAGTTTGTATATATAGGTAACATTTTAGACTCAAAATACCTGTTAATTAACCATAATCATAACTGATTAAATTTATTATTTTATGTTAAAAGGAGCGTGGTACAAGAAAAGTGACAATTTTAAATTTGCCTCTTATTTTCTTATGGGAAATGCAATGAGTTAGAAAGAGATGACGGTTGAACGAAGATAAACTGAGGTATTTGGTGACGTATTTGTTTTTTATTGACTGATAGACTTATGCGGCGACCGTCTCTTTACGGACCGTGGGCATTCGACTGATGTTCTCAAACATTCAGTAATGGCGGAAGCGATCGTGAAAATGTAATTAGAAGAGTTCATATCAAAATATTCACCCTGTATTTGATTTTTTTTTTAATGTAACTGATAATTTTGAAAGTGAACAAATGGTCATCGAAAGCTATTGGCATTTGTTAAACAAGTTATTTTAATCTATCAGGCGGCATTTTGTAGTTCTTTTTATTGCGCATATTTCGTCTGTTGAACACTTTTTCTAAAATCAATAGTTTTTTCCAATATATTGAAAAAAAAGCAAATTGGTTAAAAAACACAATGTTGCTAATGAAAAAAATTGACTTACGAGATAATACACCTTTTCTACTACCTTTCCCTACACATTTCAACGATAAAATAGCGGACGTCAATTCATCGATTTTTTTAGTCCATTTACTGCTATAGCGACGCATCTATACCTCATCTGTTATAAAACAAAGTCATTAACACAATTATCCACAATGTTTCAAAATTTCAATGAAAAGCAACAAGTTATTTATTACCAGTTAGTGAACGGCGAATATCGAGGAATGTTAATACTTCCTCAATTAGTATGATGGTATACAAAGATGTTAATTATTATTTAGCATCCACGTATTTTTGTTGAACTAGTTAACAGGTTAGAATAATAGCTTGTAAAAATAACTAGTGTTAATTACTTTTCATCGGTATTTCGCCAACGTGTTCCGTGTTGATTACCTGTGTTGAATAACGTCGCTGTCAACTGCTTTAGCTAAAATTTAGCTTAAATCTAAATCTGCAGTACACTGATTTTAATCGTAAGAAAATTATTAATATCGACCAGAATCGGAATCAATCCTGTCTAAAAGAAAAAATTATGTACAATCTTTAGCTCAGTTTATAACGGTTTTTAGCTCCAAATTTTTGACACATGCACCGACTGACGTGAAATTTTAACAGTAAGTAGAAAATTGCTCAAGAAACAAAAGTTACATAGTGCCGAAGTGTGCTTTCACCCCTTGTCGTGGGTGGCAATGAAGGCACCCATTTTAATCGCAGAAATCAATAGAGGGATGAATTCTAAGCAAAAATTGCTCTACAACGTTTTTTCCGAAAATTAATATTTTCCGAGTTATTTGCGATTTGAAATGTTGATTTTTCATCTAAAAAGTATGTTTTTCAACCATTTTTGATAAATAACTCGAAAACCTTGAGTTTTATCGAAAAATTCATATATAGCAAAAACAAAGTTTTTGATATAACGAATCGATTCATTTTTTGTTGATTACCATAGATGTAATAATAACCGAGTTATCACTCTCTAAAGGTGATTGTTTATTTTTCGGAAAGTAATACCGAACATTTTACCATAAAATAATGGCGAAAGAACTAATTTTTCGAAGAAAATGAATATAACCTTTTTTAAAGTGCTTGGAAAGACCCTTAAAATGCTTTTCGAAAAAATTTTGTAGCTCAAAAACTCGCGGTATTATGATGAAAATAAAATGGTCATTTTTTCGGAGAAAAAATCAACTATAAAATCTATGGCTGAACCATAAAAATAGAAACTAAGCGTAATCCATGTAAAGTTAACTTTATTTAGGTACTAATAATAGGCTCTGCAAGTTTGACAGGGTTTAGAAAGTTTAAAATAATGGAAAAACATTTTTTAATTTTCTTATAAAATTTCCTTTTTTTCGAAATAACAAAAACTAAAATACGTGATTACGTGAATACGTGAAAAATGCAAGAGTTCAAAATTAAAGGTCTTTTTTTATAATATTTTTGCTCTCTCAATGTTTCTGTAGAGCAAAAATTAACTGAGATTATTTTTTAGTTTGCATTTGCGTGTAAGGGCCACCTTCTTTGAGCCCTTAAAACCTAAAAATCTCGAAAACGAAGAGTTCAAGACCCTTCAACTATAAAGGTTGATTTGTAGCTCTTGCAATTCCCTGCAAATTGCTTTTTGGAGCGATGAAATATTAAAATTTTAAAAAGTTATCGTGAAAAAACGAATTGTATTATTCGGTGAAAGTTGTCCGATCGTGTAAATGGCTTAATTTCCGAACATGTTCTGGGAACAGTTGCCAAAATTGTCCTCCAATCACGGACCAAACAGAGGAAGTCGACAGTGATGATAGTTCTTTAGATTATATGTAAATTTTTGATAATAAAGTATAATTGTATATATAATACACAAATAATTTTTATTTTCCCTTTCACTACATAATACATACATTACATAATTTAAGTTTCGAGTTTTAAGTAATCTCGTTGAATTAGGAGTGTATCGTTGAGTGTTTTGAAACAGGTAAAAATTCTTCAATTCCTCATTAGGGGTTGTTTTTAAGGGTTGAAACGTTGTAATGGATCATTGGTAATATTATAAACAGTGATGAGTGTTTCGTTAATTATAAATGCTATAAAGATGTGAAAAACATTTTTTGTTTTATTTTCTGCAATAAGGGTGCTTTTTAAGGGTTGAAACGTTGCAATAAATCATGTATTATTTCATAAACAGTAAAAAATATTCAATTCTTCATTATTGCTTCGTCAAAACATTTCAGAGCCGCGAAAACAAATTTTTGCTTTTTTTGCCTCATAGGGGTGGATTTTAAGGGTTGAAATGTTGCTACAAATCAAAAATTATTATTCAAAACATAAAAGAATTCTTATTCTATTGACATAACACTTAAATCTATGGTTTTATGCAAAAAGGGGTAGTTTTCATCCCCTAAAAACAATAAGCACACATGGATATATAACATTTGTAGAGGAGGGTGAAATACGGTTTTTACCGTTGTATACTGGACTACTTCCATAACTGTGCCACCCCAAATGATAGAAAATAAAGAATTAGAAACACGCGAAATATTTATTGCAAAAAGTATAGTTAAAATACAGTCTCTTCAGTTGCAGAATGGTGATCGTCCCAAAACGATGCGATTCCGGAACCCCAGGAGGGCCCCACACCGCCTCCCATAAATGACATGGGTCAGAAGCCGTCCCATCAATTGGGTGGCGGCATCAACAAAAAGTTACCATTCTCGCTCTTCCTACGCGCTCACTCCACCACCCACAACCCCAACCCCGAGCAGCCCATCCGCTTCCAGTACAAGACGAGGCGGAAGAGCAAGGATCTCCAGGACTCGAAGCACTCGAACCAGAACGCCGTGAACAACAACATACAGACGATCAACAACTTGGGCAAGCAAAACCAAAGCAACATCTACAACGTGAAGAACACGAACTCGGAGGCAAAGTGTAAGCTGGTGAAGACGCAGAACGGGCCGGTGAGGACCAAATCGGAACCCAATCTAGTACCTGAACGAAACAAGCATAGGCACAGGAGGAAGATCGGGAAGATTAAGAACGACTGGAGCGACGACGTGCAGCAGTTCGGATACGAAATACAAGACGTCGACGCTTTTCTGACCAAGGTAAACTCAGTTTTTATTTATTACTAACGCATGACGTTTTTCTGGCTACAATATGTCTCGGTTGAGCTTCTATCCAAAAAAGAACACCTAGTTTAAAATATTTAGATAGATCTGTTTCATATCGGCGTAATACCTGCGTGTTTACTTCGTTGGAATATGTAAAGTGAACGTATAGACCCCCAAAATTGTAGGTAGTGACTCATTTTCAACATAGAACCGTGCAACTGGTAAGGAGTGTAGGGAATGCGATTCCATGGGCGTATCATTTTAGAGAAATTATTAAATATAGAAGAAATACACATGTCAATTTTGGTTAAAACAACTTTAGAATGGTACAGGGTGTGGCATTAGTGCGTCGTAGTACGATATGTCTTTTATTATAGAAGATATCAAAAAAAGTTATTTACAAAAATTGTAGCCAACTTAAAACTGCACATTTTAAAATTTCGTATATACAGGGTACGTATTACCACGGTAAAGCAAACATTTTATTTTTTAAGTGGGACACCCTATTATTTCAAATTTAGATTAAGCTCATCTCTCCCATGCTTCCGATATAGAACATAATAATTTTTTGCAGGCATAACTTTTTGATATTTTACAGTTTTACGAGAAAGTGCCGTTTCTTTATTATTGCAACAGTTGAATATAGGGCGAGCCAAAACTCGAGCACATAATTTTCTCAATTTTTTTAAATGAATCATCCTGTATTTTATTTTATATTTCATCATATTTTATATGTAAATACAGGGTGAGTCAGCGATTGGTTAAAGTAGATTTCCTCCGAATTGCTAAAGTTTATCAAAAAACTATTTCTACAGGGTGATAAGTACGCTAACAGAACACATTTTAAAGATATTTTAAAATATACAGGGTGCTCCAAAAATTTGTGGCAGGCCAAACTTACATTTTTTAAATGGAACACCCTGCATTTTACAACATTTTTAGAGTCTACGTTTAATTTGAAACATTTTGATATAAAGTTTCCTATATCTAAATTTAATAGATTCTGAAATAATTGGAACTAAATAAAAAATATTGCATTTTTCTACCAGTATTTAACAGTAGCTATCCTCGTTATTTTTAAGAATTAAAACAAGATTTTTGGTACCGTGTTACTGTAAAGGTGGCTTGAGAACGTCATGGATTCAAATTTTGATTAGCACCTACAGGGTGTTCGTAAAATAATGACAGATTTGAAGAAGTTTAAACTAAAAAATCTTAATTTTTTTAAATGGAACACCCTGTATATTTTTCAATATTCCTTTAGATCTTTTAAAAACTAACAACTTTTGTTAACCATGTCCTATACCTATACTCAATACTTCTGGAGATATTCGCTTAACAATGTAGTGGAGCATTTTTCGTGATTTTCTAATTGTGTTACATTGTCACAAAAGCCATGACAAAATGACAATTATAAACAAAATAATCAAAATTGTTACATTAGACTTGTCAGTGCATTGTTATTGAGATTTTGAACATTAAATCAGTATTATTGAAATTCAAAATGAATTTTACAAGAAATGAACTTATAGATATGGTGTATGCATTAGGTGCAGCCGAAAGAAATTGTCTTCTTGCTCAAAGAATGTATAAAATGGAATATCCTGATAGACGCTTGCCTTCGAAAAAGTCTTTTGAAGAGTTAATGGTAAGATTTAATGAAAGTGGTAATGTTAATTACAAAAAACGGGAAGTAGTTAATAGAAATGCGTCAAATGAGAATAAGGAATTGGAAGTTTTACTTCAAGTTGAAGAAGATCCTCATGTTAGTAGTCGTCAAGTGGCTAACATATCTGAAATGTCACAATCTACTGTAAACCGAATAACGAGGAAATATAAGTACCACCCTTATCACATAGAACTACATCAAGAATTGCACGGAAATGATTTTGAACAGCGAGTAAATTTCTGTACTATTATGAATAGACAAATTGAAGCTGAACCAAACTTTTTAACAAGAATATTGTTTTCGGACGAAGCAACTTTTAAAAGTAACGGCTTAGTTAATCGGCACAATATGCACTATTACTCAACGAAAAACCAATTTTGGCTACGGGAAGTAAGGTACCAAAATAATTGGTCGTTAAATGTTTGGTGTGGTTTCTTAAATACAAGAATTGTAGGACCTTATTTTTTTAATGAACACCTAAATGGTCCTAGGTATTTACGTTTTTTGAGAGATGATTTGCCTAATCTTCTTCAAGATATTGATATTGTTGAACGAGGAAATATATTTATACAACACGATGGAGCGCCCGCTCATTATCATGATGTCAGAATATACTTAAATGACAATTATCCAGAACGATGGATAGGGCGTGGGGGTTTCATTCACTGGTCTGCAAGGTCTTGCGATTTAACCCCTCTAGACTTTTTCCTGTGGGGTTATATTAAGGGGCAGGTATATGCCCATCCACCAACAACTCTTGATATGAAAAATAGAATAAGAGAATCATGTAGAAGTATAACTCCAGAAATGTTATCAAGAGTAAGACGATCCTTGAAAGAAAGATTAAATTTATGTGTTCAGCAGGATGGTCATTTATTTGAAAATTTAATTAGATAATCCCTTGGAAGATTTTGTCTAATAATTATTATATTTGTTAGTTCGGTGTAATTGCTTAATATTAAGTACTATACTCTTCTAGTGTCAATTGTTGTGTATTATAATAATTATAAGTTATTCTAATATAACAGTTTATGAGTATTTGTTACTTATTTTCATTATTTTATTTAAAGGATGAAATTTTTCTTTTTATAATTAAATTATTAAATAATTTAATGTGAAGATAAATAAAGAAAACAGTATTTATTATATTTGACGTAATATGATTATGATTTATTACTATCTATTTTGCCAGGCCTATGGACCAAATTAGAAAATCACGAAAAATGCTCCACTACACTGTGAAGCGAATATCTCCAGAAGTATTGAGAGTTGTTAGTTTTTAAAAGATCTAAAGGAATATTGAAAAATATGCAGGGTGTTCCATTTAAAAAAATTAAGATTTTTTAGTTTAAACTTCTTCAAATCTGTCATTATTTTACGAATACCCTGTAGGCGCTAATCACAATTTGAATTCATGACGTTCTCAAGCCACCTTTACAGTAACACGGTACCAAAAATCTTGTTTTAATTCTTAAAAATAAGGAGGATAGCTACTGTTAAATACAGGTACAAAAATGCAATATTTTTTATTTAGTTCCAATTATTTCAGAAACTATTAAATTTAGATATAGGAAACTTAATATCAAAATGTTTCAAATTAAACGTAGAATCTAAAAATATTGTAAAATACAGGGTGTTCCATTTAAAAAAATGTAACTTTGGTCTGCCACAAATTTTTGGAGCACCCTGTATATTTTAAAATATTTTTAAAATGTGTCCTGTTAGCGTACTTATCACCCTGTAGAAATTGTTTTTTTTAATAAACTTTAGCAATTCGGAGTAAATCTACTTTAACCAATCGTTGACTCACCCTCTAGTTAATATGAGGGAACTGGACGAATGTACCAAGTTTAAATTATCTTTGGCAAAAGTGCAATGAAGTATTATAACTTACTCAGATTGAACATTTTTACTATTATTTGCTCCAAATCAAAGTAAATGGGTAATTTCCCATTATAAGTGTGTGTATGTCTAATTTATTTAATCACAAAAAATTAATACTGAAAAAACCAACCAATTTTTGCCAATTATTAAAAGTCATGGTAAAATAAAAATTCCGCCAATAAAAGTAATTAATCTCAGTCTATGAGTACATGTTGATTATGTACATTACTGGAAAAAATTAAGGAAACAAAAATATTTAATACATTTTTTAGTGATTTTCGAAAGGCTGAGTATCTGTGAAAAATGGTCGTGTCGGAATAAAAAAAAACCGTTACGAAGTTTGAAGTCTCTAGTTTCAAGATCTTTTAACAAAACAATTTGTTGAGCTAGGATTATCGAGGAATCAAAAGACTCGTGGAATTTCGAGGTATTTAAAACCAGTATCAAACTGTCACATAAACGGTAAACAATTGGATTTGTTTGATAATAAATCATATTATTTAAATCCTTATATTGATAAGATTAAAATAGTACTTTATAAGATATATTCGGAGTATAAACATAATCACATTTTAAACAAAAAAATAAATAAGTTGATTAATTAACATTCAGAGTGTCCCAATTCTAATCTGCTATACAAAAAAATTTTATATTAATTTAAAAATATGTCAAAAATACACACAATGATATGTATTTTTCTAAATATTTTGTGATCGCTACCACTATCACATTGTAAGTAAATGGCCCCAACAGTCACCTGACATGAATCCCCTTTATTACTTATGAGGTCATATGAAGCAGCAGGAATACTCGTCACCAGGGGAACTAATATAAGACATTCAAAATTCTGCTACATCCATTACGGCAGTATATTTATCAATCTCAAGAATGTCATTATTACATAAATGACAATCTTTGTTGAACTAGGCTAATTTGAACATCTACTTTAATTTCTGCTTATAGTCTTTCCGAAGTCAGTTGAACCATAGGCGTCCCTAAAAAAGTTTTCTGCGAAAGGTAAAAGACAATAATAATTTGTATACAATTTGTAGAAAATTTCTATTATATGTTCATTTGGCCAACAACATATTTTAATTGTTTATGTCCTCAAACAATTTTATTATATTGATGGTAAATTGTGGTTATGACATATCAAAAAAACATTTACATTTTCATTAAAATATATTACTGCTCGGCAAGAACCAACGGGAAGGTATGAACATATCCCTGCCAGGAAGGGAAAGGTTGTTAGTTTAGGTCAGAAAAGTTATTAAATAAAAATAATTTCCAACAAAATAATTCCGCATTGCTTCACTGCACGGTTAGGCAAATTGTCAACAACTGAAATTTATGCCCAGTCGCCCAGCGCGGCTGTGTTTGTGCGCCGTTTGCTCGTGCGCGTTTCTTCAATTCGGCGTATACGTCTGGTCGAACGTTTAGT